GAAATTACACAGCTTTATGTTGCTGTTGTTACCAAGTCTGTGCACACAAAAGCACATGGCAGAGGCAATATACGAGAAGGGGGAAGACGGAAAATGAGAAATGAAACCGAGTCCTGTTCTGTCTCACTGATTTATAGTGCACCAGCTCTCAAACTCTGTTTCTTTGTGATGAAGATTCTCCCTAAATAAATAGGAAATCAAGTTGAGGTTTTCATATAAAAAATTCATGTGAAAAATTGCAAAATACTATTTTTTGTAAAGCCCTTGAGATCATGAAATGTGTACTTCATATCTTTCTCATGTAATTTTATCAAACATCTTCAAATACCAGTAAGAACCTTCTGAAAGGCTACATGAAATAAAGATTTATTTTTTTGAGGCTCTTCTCAGGCAGTTTTATAAAATTGTGTTGTTCTCTGTCATTGAAATTGTGTCAATATAGCATAGTATAAAAGTCATTAGTGAGAAAAAAGTAATTATGGCATGGAAAAATAGATACATTTTTTACTGTTGAATAGGTATATAATCTATTTGGTTTAGTGGTTGCTAAATGACTTCAGTAATTTACAAAATTTAATTGTATCTGCTTTTTTCAGAAAGTCACTTTTCGATGAGGTGGCTCATAGCAGACACGCTTTTGGAGCTCTTAATATTTCATACACCAATGGAGACTAAAATAATAACTGTAAGCCTTAATTATGCCGACCATGAAGATTACTGATGAGAAATGTCTTTATTAGGAAAAATAACAAGATTGTGAGGTAGCCCCTTGTTTTGAAATTGAGTAAAAGTTCATGTGGAAATTGACATTATTTTTCACAATGGAAAAAAACCCAATCAAACACAAAATTCCAGACCTAAACTAAAACATAAGGATTTGTCTAGTTGAATACTATGCCTTAAAAGAAATTTAAAAAGAAAAGGTCAAACTTGGCTAAATATTATGGCTATGTTACATAAAGTGTGAGATAGGACAAAGTGTTGCAGGAACCAGTGTATTACTTTACCTGTTGGCTTGCTAAAATTGTAATCTGGAAGTTTCTGTTATACTAGATATGAGGAATGTGCCAACTGAGCTCAAACAATAATTAGACAACCATTAAATGATGGGGTTTGACCCCTAAGTGTAGCTGTTGTGGCAGCACTATTCTAACATTAAACTAGTGCTCCTTCTTAGTACTTATGTCACCCACTCTTAGCATTTTACTAAAAGCTCCAGATGGGCACAGAAGCTTTCAAGAGCAGATCAATTTACAGGAAAAAGATTAATTTTCTAGTATGTTCCTCAACAATGGCTATGACTACAATCTGAGTTCAACTCAGCCACCTAAACACAAGTTCTGTGCCGTTTGAGACAACAGGTCTCTGAGGCAGCCTTAACAGAGCAGGCTGGTATTAGGCAGGAGCCCAGAGTCCTTCAGGAATGGTATCGAAATCAAGTAGAAAGCCATCTTGAACACATTTGGCTAGCTGCTGCAGCCTACAGTGAACTGTATGTTGCTGAGGTGACACTAGCAAACTAAAGGCTAAGTCAGAATCACAAAGAAAATGATAAAAACACAGGAAAAGGGGATCAAAATAATCTGAAGAGAAAATGCAGTGGTTTAGCAATTTCCTGAAGTTTCCCAATTAGAGAGTTCTCATTGATGTAATCCAAGAAAAATAAACCATCTTTCCTGGCACAGATGATGGCCAAATATAGATCCAGGGATCCATCATCTCTTTTAGTCTTCCTGTAACACTTTGTCCTTCAAAGAACTTATTAATTCACATTCTCCACTGTTTTCTCTGCATCAATTTCAATAATCTTTAACTAAAAATAAGATGATCCCATAAAAGCTGTGGATATTATCATTAAAGATTGTAACACTGCAAACACTTTTAGCAAAGCTTATTGCTTGCCTTTGATTGCATAGTTCATGAGATTCAAGAGCCTGGTGGCAATTCATAAAAATTAATATAAGTGACTTTGCCTGTAGGCAAGCAATACTTTATAGAGCCTATAATAGTTTCAGCTGAAAGGTAACTGCTAGAGAGATTCTCACACCATCCTTGACATGCTCTTTGTTCTCATCTTGTAAATGGATGACAGTGATTCATTTTCTTATTTAGCCATATGTCTGAAAGCCTTGGAGATTCATACTTGTGCCTATGGAGAGAGCCACATTTGACACTTCCAATTCTGACACTGACAGTGCCTAGAGTGTTCAAGTGAGAGTGGATTTGAAGCTCTCTTTAGATGTGTTTCCCAAACCAAACACAAGTAAAAGATTTGGATGTTACTCTGGCACCTCTGAGCAGTGTATGATTTTTCTTGAGAGTGGCCCAGGCTCAGTTGCACATCTTGCTAAAGAAAGCAAATCAACTCAAGACATGCAGTGAGATTTAGCAGAATAAAACTTTTCATGCTTTTTAAATAGACCCTGCATGCCCTGATGCATTTGAAAACACATTCAATTATTGTCTTTTTATTGCTTCCAAAATAACACTCCCCAAGATATGCATTCTACTTGCTAACATAAGATTGTCCCCATTCATCATGAATTAAATTTTTCTACACTCCCCAAAGCAGAAACATGAAAGTTTAAGCCTCAGTCTCCAAATAATCAAATATCCTTCCAACAGTTCCTTCTCCCATCCCAAAGAAGTTAACATAGGCCCTCACAGTCTGCAGAGAAGCAGTGTCAGTGCAGAGAGGATGACAGGAAGGTTATATTCAAGTCACATTGTTATTCTCAGCCAACACCTTAAAGTTTATCCACATGGCTGGTGATATCACTCCACAATCATAGAATTTGCCTGAATTCTTTCATATTTTGCCTAAAGGAATGAAAAATTCCTGTGGAAAATTAATTTTTTCAACCAGTTCTGTGGGCAGCAAACCATGCTGTGCTATGAGAAGCTAGGAAGAAGCTTTGACATCTAGATGTTTCAGTCCTAGGGCTTCCTGAGAAGCAATAACAATAGATCTCAAGGGCTACTTGATATTGTGTGAAATAAGAACCTCTACTGAAACATGGTTCAGGTTTTGCTGGTGGTGGATTTTTGTAGTCTCCTAATGTAACAGTTTTACAGTCAAATATTAGTTATCACAATCTAAATTCATTGATTTTTGAGAGATGACATTATTTTCTTGCCTATTATCTTCCAGGGATTTTTAAGACAACTGCTCATCAAGGAGAGGCAGTGACTATATATCAGCATATTTCACTTGATGATCAGGAATTATAGAAATTTAGGAATGACTTCTCTATAAACTGCCAGTGACAATTCCAAAAGTACATAGGGGCAAGCTAAGCAGTGATAGCTTGTATAAACCATTATTATATCAGTTTTGGTTTATATGTTGTTAAATTATTAAGTGGTTTTAACTGAGCCCATGTTTGACAGAGATGTTATTTGTGCACTTTCTAAAAATCCATTAGTCCAGAACAGAAATGTAATTATTTTGCAGATGTCTGAATTTTATTAAGCCATCAACTCTGTGCTATTAAACAAGAGATTCAAGACTTCTTTGGGATCCCTTCGGAGCCAGGTCTCATTCAGAACATGAAAGGAAAGTTAGAAGGTTCATATGGTACCTTTAGAGCTAAATTCTGAAATATGAAATTGAAATAAATCCAATGGAGAATATAAGCAATATTCACCAATATTTTGTGAAAACAGACTTTTGAGTTTTGATTCAGATGGGAAGTACAGGATTGAAATTAGTTTATTAGTTCAAGTAAAGTTTAATATTAGGCAATTTAAATTACTGAGAATCAATTTTCAATAACCTCTAGTAAATATACTTAAAGAATTAATTCCACATGAGATTAAACAAAAAAAATCACAAAGCAACATAATAAGAAAGGTATTTTTCTATATGCTTGTCATCTTTTATCTTGCTGGCAACCTTGTGTTAGCCTGAGGCTTTGTTTATTGATCGTGGCTAACAGAAGGACAAACATGGAAAAGAATGAGAAGGCAAACTAAACTGTCTGCAGCTGAAGGTCAAATTCACGTCATCTGATCTCAGGATCACAAATTTCCCACTATCTCTAAAATGAAATAACACAGACATTTAGACTGAAATACTTGAAATTTATGAACTGATTCAGGAATTCTTCACGTAACCTCTTTTACTTATGAGAGCAAAAATAATGGCTGTGAAGTGAAATACATAAATAAATAAATAAATATGAGAAAAGCCATTTCTCCCCCAGGGTGGCTGGGGCAGCAGGACCAGCCCTGGCTGCAGGCCCGGCCCTGCCCTTCCACCTCAGGAAGCCCCAGCCCCTCATCACCCTCACACTTAGCTAAAATGCTATTTAAACCCTAATGGGCTTTTAGTTTCATTAGCATCCTATGGCAGTGACTGAACAGTGTCCATCCCCTCATTTAAAAGCAACCATACACTTGGAAAAGAAGATGACGAATGAGTAGCAGTCCAAAAAGAAGTCATAGCTCCTGATATTTTCTGTAGAACCATATTAGTTTCAGATGGTTGGTGCGAGTAAGAATCAACCAGTGAACTCAATCCAGTTCTGTACAGCAAAAAGTGAGGAAACTGTAAACACCAAATTTGACACAAAGGAAAAGTATAATCCAAAAACAACCTGGTACTGATCCACCCCAGAGATTGTAAAGAAAATCCATCTTAACAAAGAGATTTCAATAAATTAGTAAGAAGCTTCTATGTTACATACTCCTGCATAGGTCCTCAGGCTCACAATATATCATTTACAGAATATTTGTGGTTTTTATATTTGTGAAATGGGTTTTTTATGTCTGGAGGATCTCATTTTTCAATGACACCCCTATTTGGTTTAGGTATTTTCCCAGTGAAATTTGTAGAGGTTTTATAACTGGCATTTGCCTGATTTTGCACTGCATTTGTATCAGTGGTAAAGATTCGTCAGATTTCAGTACAGGCCAAAGCTGAGGTACGATGTAAATCCTATTTATCTGTAACCATTAAAGAGGATGAAACAGCATGCAGTGAACCATGCAGATGAAAGCTAATCTATATATTTTGTTCTAGTGTCCACACAAATACAAAGTACAGGACAGACCCTGCAATTTCTTCAGTGCATTTCAGAGAAAGGTAGGTGCCAGTCTTTCAGTTCACACTGAAACATCTTCAGCACTGCCTCATGGCTGCAGGGGTTGAGGCTTGACACATATTTAATTTCAGAGGTGTGAAATATTACCTTCAGTCAATGTGATGGTGTGATGGGCATTTTTCTCACAGAGTTTAGCCTTCAAATCCACAAATCTCAGCAGCAAGTACCAAATCTTTGACGTAAAATTGGGCCGCGTGTAAGACCTGCTGCTTTTAATTCTCTTTCAATCTTTGTTGAGCTGCTTTTCTTTAAATTGCTGCTACAGGTACTTAATTTCCCTCCCCAGCATTACCAGTCGTTGCGTTCTGTGTCTGGTGGTTTCTTACTTAATAGCTTGAATGGTGGAAGATAATAGCCACCCTGTGGCTGCTTGGAACTGCTTCCCCAAATGCATCATATAGCTTCTGAACAGGTCTCGTTGCTTTAAACTGCTCTGCTGTAGTCTTACAGAAAGCTGAAAGTCTTCCAAGCCAGGGTTAATGTGCCATGGCTGTGGAGTGTGCAGAGGGCAGGTAGTAATAGATCAGCATGGGCATAGTTGTAGACTGAAGTACTTTGGACTCCTGTCTTCAGAGTACTGTCTAAAGCAGGTTTCAGTAATAGGAGAACCCAGACTGTGGGGTAAAGAGAATAAAGGGCTGTAGCACTCTGGAAGTGCATTTGGGTGTACTTCTGTATCCAAAGGCCATAAATGCCTTTGCTAAGTGCCTCGCTGATCCTGAAAGCACAAAGTTTTCTGGTGCCATTCACTTAAAGGATCCCGAGCTTTCATTCCACTTCAGCACACTCTGAACCTGGTTCAGGTCCTCACAAAGTCTAGTCATTGCTGCTTTCTTTTTAAAATACATTCATGGGATTTATAACAGTCTTATTGCCAATGCATTCAATAGAGAAAAGGAAGCCTTGTATTTTAGATCCTTGTTAGCCTAAGGATTTCCAAACCTTCAGATCTGCATTCCTGGAGGTGTGTTACTTTTAGCTCTTCTGATGCTTTGGGGATTTCTTTCTTTGTTCCATTGGTGAAATTCAACAAGGGCAAGTGTAGAGTCTTGCATCTGGGGAAGAACAACCCCATGTACCAGTACAGGTTGGGGACTGACCTGCTGGAAAGTAGCGAAGGGGAAAGGGACCTGGGGGACCTGGTGGACAGGAGGATGACTATGAGCCAGCAATGTGCCCTTGTGGCCAAGAAGGCAAATGGCATCCTGTGGTGCATTAGAAAGGGTGTGGTTAGTAGGTCAAGAGAGGTTCTCCTCCCCCTCTATTCTGCCTTGGTTAGGCCGCATCTGGAATATTGCATCCAGTTCTGGGCCCCTCAGTTCAAGAAGGACAGGGAACTGCTTGAAAGAGTCCAGCACAGAGCCACAAAGATGATTAAGGGAGTGGAGCATCTCCCTTATGAGGAGAGGCTGAAGGAGCTGGGTCTCTTCAGCTTGGAGGAGACTGAGGGGTGACCTCATCAGTGTTTACAAATGTGTAACAGGTGTGTCAGGAGGGTGGAGCTAGGCTTTTTTCAGTGATATCCAGTGATAGGACAAGGGGCAATGGGTGTAAACTGTAGCATAGAAGGTTCCACGTTAACATCAGGAAGAACTTCTTTACTGTGAGAGTGACAGAGCACTGGAACAGGTTGCCCAGGGGGGTTGTGGAGTCTCCCACATTGGAGATATTCAAGGCCCGCCTGGACAAGTTCCTGTGTGACGTACTCTAGGTTACCCTGCTCTTGCAGGGGGGTTGGACTAGATGATCTCTTGAGGTCCCTTCCAACACTTGGAATTCTGTGATTCTGTGATTCTGTGATTACTCAAAAATAATTTTTCTCCCCTTCCAATAAAAGAGATCATAGTTACCTTGTGCTTTGCTCAGCCAGTCTTTCAAGAACTACCGCAATCACAAGCATGCTTAAAAATGAAGCCTGAGCTTGATGAAGAATTTCAGAAGCCAAAAGCGGCTTTTCAGTAGAATCCCATTTTGTTGTTCAAACCCTCAGACTGTGCGGCTGAGCATGCAGGTGGTTTTCACGAGAAAATTATTCTAGTGCAGCATCTGCCCTGCTTCAAATAGAGAAAGGCAGTGTAGATTACAGAAAAAAAAATGCCTTTGGGAACTAAATCCAGACTCACAGTATTACCACTCAAGAGTGCCTACACTCATGGTAGAATCAGGCTCCCTGTGTTAGTTCTTTATTTGGCCCCAAGACTTACGTCCCTGGCTCCCAAGCTGAGCTCCATGAGGAGCTGTAGGAAGCATACCCACATCTGTGGGAAGGCCCACAGCAACATCCCATAGCTGTCATGAGAGCATTTTCTCAGAATTGGGAGAGTAGACTGGGGAAAGTTTAAAGTGATAGTGAGTGCTTTATTCACTAATGTTTAGTTCAAATCCACATGTAGTACCTCTTCTTCCACGAGTAGGTGTCTGTCTGCCTAAACCTGAATTATGGTGAAAATATAGCCTGGAAATACATGTTCATGCTCCTAAAGCAAGCTTGGAAAAGGTTTGAAGAACTAAAGCAAGATACCCAGAGGATTTCCAGGATAAGCAGGTAAGTGCCTACAGGACTAGGCAGTACTTGAAAGGTTGGGTTGCTGTCTAGGAGAAATGCACACAGCTTTGATTTAGACATCTATGTCTCAAATTGTTTGTGTTTTTGATAGCCAAGTTCCTACCCACAGGAATGAAAAAACATATTTGACACCTGCTGATGTGAAAAAGTTTTTCAATACACACTTCCTACAGTAGATTCAAACTAAATTATTTCCTGTATATGTAGCTAAGCCTGGGATCATAAATAATATATAGGTAAATGATAAATAAATGCAATGCAGATCCTTAATGGTTCTTGAACTTCTGTGCCTAAAGGACTATAAAGTCAAAATGAGTTACAGGTATCAGTAAATGAGGAGCCAGCAGACTCACAAGACCTGGGCTTGTCCTGGCATGCTGCATAGGTCAACCCTTCTAACTCCAGAGAAATTTCTGTCTGTGCTTATAGATTTACACTGGATCTCTAATCTAAACTGCATTTTTAAGACTTCCCAAAGCACCCTATAAATTGTTTCATATTTTATAATCTGCCTAAATCTTTCAAACTGATATTTGAATGTAATGCATTTATCCTCTGAGTAAAGATACAGTACCTCTGAAAATAGCAATTTATACTTAGAGGCAAATACCTGGACATAGTGAGGAGGGAAGGAAGAAATAGCTATTAGAACTAAACCTGTCTTGTCTCCAGAAATCTTTGTAGGAAATATTAAAGCTATTATTTCCAGTCTTCAAGATTAAGACTCCATCTGACAAGAACATGGAATTTTCGTTAATGTTAATGGAACGTATAAGAATGCATCAAGTGAGAAATAGCCAGTGAGTAATGAAAGCTGTATCAGAGTAAAAACACATAGCATCACACAGAGATGGCTTAGAAAAGACAATATTTAAATATGGATCTTCCATCTTCCCAAAATTACAATGTCCTAACTGATCATATGAAATGCTAGGAACACTATTTATCTGTAAAGGTGCAAAAGGTCCACATAGCCGAAGAACTCATAAATTGTTTAGCCTGTCCCTTAACACCCATGTTTCCAAATGTCCCCCAGAAGAAAAAAAACCTCTTACCTTGTGTGTATATGTTGCACTGTTTCTTTAACAAGAAAGCCTCTATGATATATTTATCTCCTTCCAAATAAGAAAATTCATTCTATATAAGAATTATTTTTTAATAAATATCTTTTAATTTTCTTAGTGTGCTCTCTCTCTCTCTAGTTTCCATATACATACAGTGGATTTTTAGCTGTCTGAAAAGCTGAATGGCCAAATGCTCAACACAAGCAAGCTTCTTTTGAGCTCAGTGTCTTAAGTAGTAAATAACCCCAATTTTTGAGGCTGTATAGATTCTTTCTGAAATATTAGTAATTCAAGGGCCTCAATATTCCTTTGCATGCTTTCAAAGGGAAGTCAAATGACAAATTACATAAAAAAGGAGCTATTCCATATTCTGGTTGCTCTTTGTAGCAGCAAAAATAAGTACATTTACCAACTCTGTATTTTTGTTTGTAAATTAATTCTGAAGTCAACCATATTCCCAAATGGGAAGAATGTAACTAAAACGAATCATTTTCTTGTGAATTAGGCATAATTCATAGAAATGGTCTCTTTCTGTTTCTTGTTCCAACTTTTCTGAAATTCTCTTGTGTTTATTAATGTCACCTCTTTAGGCTGCAAATCATAATACAATACTGAGTAGCCTGGAAGGAAGTGATGTTTTTCAGAGGAAGGTGAATAAATAACTGTAAAAACTGAGTCTTTATGCCTTAGTCAGGTAAGGCTTTCCTAACCTGGTGTTTCAAAACTCACTGGACCCCTAGAGTTAACAACCTACCTGCGTAATGAGATACGTGCGGACTGGTGTAATTCAGGTAACTTCATTTTCCCTGTTTCCTACATTAAACTTTTCAGAGTTGTTCATTCCATGAACAGGCTGTGAATTAAGCCCACAGTATGTTTGACAGAGATAATAATCTAATTGCCCCTTGCCCCTTTCCCTCCTGTCTGCTCCTTCCCACCCTGTGCCTGGGACAGGCTTTAAAAAGAACCTTGAAAAACATATCAGATAAAAACTAAACACAAAACGGAGTAGATTTGTCCCTGGTCTGACTGACAGAGCAGGCATACAAACACTGGTGCTGGTGCTGCGGGCAGGCACTGCAAGGCAAGAGGAACAGCAGAAGGGAGCCCAGAAGGCCTCTTGCAACCAACTATTTGCTCTGTAAAAAGGGGCCTGATTCCCCATTTCACAGGTGCTCATCCAGCCTTTCATAAATTGGCAATTGACACTAAAAAGGAAAAAGTGTTTGTAGATGTTTAAATGATCTTTTAGTAGGTAACACGCAGATGGACTCTGCCTGCCACTCGCAATGAGGGTGAATATGCTAGCGATGGCTGAGAACAGCTGCCTGGAAAGCTTTGTAGTTTTCCACTCCTTCCCTGCTCTACAGCACCACAGGCTGCATGGTCGCCTGTACATTAACACAGCAATTAGCTGGAGAACAGCAGCTGGCTAACATCAGTTATTCTGGAACACTAATAGTTTGATTGGGTAAATGATTGGCAGTATTCACAATAAGCTGGAATTTCCTTTATTTTTTTTTTTTTTTTTGCATCTAAGCCACAAATGCTGCCTTGGATAACACAAGCTGAAAATCACTTATTTTGGCAAGTCAGGGCTCTGACCCGCTTTGCAGAAGTAATGTTGAGTATTTTCCCCAGATGTCAGCCATATAGTCTGGACATTTCCTTCTTGTTTTTTGCACTATGCTTGGTGACTTCACTTTGCACACCATTATACCAATCAGTGTTCTATTTTCAAGCCTGGGTTTTCAAGAGTAGACAAAAATTTTACTCAATTGTTTTATAGTACAGGTAATAATAATTAAAAATAATGTCTAAGTAGCTCCATGGAATGTCTGTTCTGATGCTAGGGTTCAAAAATTGTGTGATCTGTTATTATTGTGTGGACACATGCTATGTTATGCGAAGGTTTTAAGGCCATATGGGTGATACTGGAGCTCGTGATTCATATAATTTGAATCACTGAAGCTACATAAATACAAGGTAATATTTAGGGATTTCTGAAAATCCCTCAAATTTTTGTGTCCTCTTATGGCCATGAGAGCATAAGTCACCTCAAATACCATCAGACACAGGACACATAAGGCAGTAGGTGAGCTATGGCAGTGCAAATAAAAAGCCTCATGTTATTGAAAACACTTTTCTTATATTCTGCAAAAATTGTAAACCCAAGCATAAATAACTGCTTTACACATCTGACAGTCCTAATGCACTCTCATTGTTGAGTGGCATCCTTCTGAGCCATGAAATGAACTTTAAGTTAAGCAAGAGTTGTTGGTTCTGCAATTGTAGTGGAGACAAGCACTTCCAAAATGTATCTTATGTGTTTTAAATTCCTAAATTAGGATGAGATTAATCTCCCCACCGAAACACCTTTTTATCATCAGGGACTATGGAGGAGCCTGGCCAGGTGGCTTAGACTAGACCCCTCAGGTTCAGAAAACTCTGTTTAGGTGGAACAGATCTCACCCTTTAAACTGGTTTTCAGACAACTTTTTATTTAGGGAAATATATTTTTTTATTGTTTTTCAATAGAATCATAGAATAATTTAGATTGGCAGAGACCTCCAGAGTTGATCTAGCACAAATCCCTGCTGAAGGCAGCTCCAATCAGGTCAGGTTGCTCAAGGTTGTGTCCAACTAATCTTGAAAAACTCCAGGGGTGGAGATCCCACAGCCTCTCTGGGACTCTTCCACTACTTGACTACTCTCATGGTAAAAAAGAGAATCCTAATATGTAATTGGCATTTTCTGTGTTCCAACTTGTGTCCATTGCCTTCTATCCTGCCACTGTACACCTCCAAAAGTGGTGCTCCACCTTCTCTGTATATTCCATTCAGCTAAAAACAGCAATGACATCTTTAGCTTTTCCAGGCTGAACAAACCCAGATCACTCAGCCTCTCCTCTTATATCTTGTGCTTCAGCTCCCTAACCATCTTGGTTATCTTTCTTTGAGTTGGAACTGTATGTTCATGTCTATCATGTCATGGGGAGCCCAAAACTGGACACATAGCTCCAAATGTTTCTCACAGATGCAGAATAAAGATGCCCAAAACTGGACACATAGCTCCAAATGTTTCTCACAGATGCAGAATAAAGATGCCCAAAACTGGGCACATAGCTCCAAATGTTTCTCACAGATGCAGAATAAAGATGCCCAAAACTGGACACATAGCTCCAAATGTTTCTCACAGATGCAGAATAAAAGAGAAAGATCACTAGAACTGCTGGCTGCAATCTTACTAATACAGGCTTCAAGCTTGCTAGTACACTTTTGCTGACAATGATATGACAGGCAATCTAGAGTTCTACAAAGTTACATGGGAGATACTTTAGTCAAGAGATGATCATAAAGGTCTTGGTATCTACGATATATCTCTAGAAGGTTGTGTGGAGGCTGATAAGAGGGTATTTCCTGGAAACAAAGTGAAAATCAAGGAGATAAAAAGAGCAAATAAATAATAAGCAAAGAAACAAAACTGTTTATCTGCCGCTAGTTTTATTTTTTTGGCACAGCAGTCTGCTATATAAGCAAAGCTGAGGAGCATGATTAGCTGTGGTACAGCACAGAAAAAAGCAGCAGTTGTGGGGGAGGCATAGGTTTTCTTTAACACTTTTCTATTGGAAAAAAATATCAGACAACTACACCCTAAGGAAAATAAGTCTAGAAAATAATACTGTTATGGCCTGAGCTTGTTAATTCAGGGTCCATTGCTCCCCTGGGATTCCTATAAATGGATTAGTTCCTCAATGGAAGAAACAATTTACTTCATGTCCTAGCAGTTTCTCAAATGCAGAGGAAATCAGGAAATGTACATACCTACAGAGAAGCAAGGAGAAAAAAAGTAGGGCACTATGTCAATATATTAAAAACAGAACATTTGCCACTGACAAAATTTAAATTAACATCTACAGAGAACAAAGTAAAGAGAAGAAGGAGTTGATTCATTTGCTGTCCCCCACTGAAGTAAAATTCATTATGGAGATTGGTCTCACCTTAGTTTAGGTTGACTGACTGCATCTAATGTTAAACTGAAAGTGCTGACATGTTAATGCCTGATGTCTTTTATATGCAGAAATTATGGTGGACATACCCTACATTAAGAAGCCAGAATCTATGGAATGTGTCTTTGTACTGAGTGGCTTAACCATGTGTCCATTAGAGGAAGAATCAAGCCATCTCCTCCAGTAATAAAAGAGCTACCATCTTCACCACGGCACACAGATCCACAGAAATGTTGCTGGGGAGAAGCAAGAATGGGAGGGCAAGTGTATTCTTTCTAGCTCCACAACATCATGGGAAAGATTTCATGCCTCTGCAAATGACTCACTGAAAGAGAACAAAGATAAAGATAGATGTCCAGACTGATAATTTAAAAATGCATAGGTCAAGACTACAAACTTCAGGGTTTAACTGGCTTGTATGTTCAAAAGTTATGATTGACAAGGTCAAGCCAAAGGTTGACAGCAAGCATATTATCTCATCTTCAAGAGTGAAAAGCATTGAATTTTGAAGGAAAGGCTACAAGCAGTAGGATAAATATAAAATAATAATTTCTTTCATATGACTTCCCAGCTAGGGTGACCTCACTGAAGGCTATAACTCATGGATAAAACAATGCATCTAAAACTGGAAGTTCTCCAGGGTTTAGACTATTTCCCTAATCAGTCTGGGAAGGAGAGAACCTACAGTGAAAGCACTCACATATTTATGATGAAACAAATATTTCCAGAAAACAGCAATCCAGAGCTCTAAATGTTCTCTATTTTATCCACACTACAGAAAATATGAAGGGAAATGGTAAACCCAAATAAAGAAATATTTCCATTTTGTACGCATGAACTTCAATAACCCACCTGAAAAAGAGAGAAGATTCAAGATCCCACATATAATCTCCCCCTGCAATGCCAAAACTAAAAGTTCTTTGCCAAGGAAGATAAAAATCTCTTTGCCTCAGTGTTGATTAAAAGGAATATATAGAGAACAGTGATTATAAAGAAAATCATTTAGAGACACTATTTAGTTCTCTCTGCTGAGCAGTGTATTGCTCACACACTAGAGAGCAGTTTACCTTCTTTGAGTGATATGTCAAGTCACACTCTTCCTTCACTGGAACTCATAAAAAAATCCTTTCCATAAAGCATTTTATACTTAGAGGGGAAGGAGTAGCCACTTGATTATAATATAAAATCAAATCAGCTATATCTTACCATCTTAGTATTTTTCACCTGCAAACCTGTTTGTTTGTGAAGAAATTGAATCACTCAGTGGGGCCTAAGGTATTGCTTACTCTCACAAACTTAATACTGAAAAGGTAATTTGATCTGTAGAAAGTTCTTCTTCATAGTAATTTAAAATTTAGTTCACGTGATATTAGAGAAAAGTAGAATTGCATTTACAGAATTACAGTATTTCCAAGTTGGTTTTACTTGTTCTTAGTTTTGTGTCATAAGAATATTATTCCGCTCCAAAAAGGATACACTGTTTTGATCACTTGTGAATTTATTTAACATTACCATTTCATATTGCATTATATTTAAACAATTTAAACACCATATGAAATATGGGTAATCTAATGTAATGTTGATGGGTCCTAGCCCATATAACACTGGACTCAATGCACCCTTGATTCCTTATAATTTTTGCAGTATTAGGTGTCTATTTGTAAGAACTGATGCCAGAGTTGTCCATCAGAGGAAGGAGGGAAATAGGATCAGATGACTCAAATTTGATGGGATGCAAACCATAGGATGCCAACTGACTGATCAATTTCTTTCCAGGGACTCATGATGACCTTGTAATTTCCATTACTAGAAAGTCACTGGTTATTTTGAAACATTTAACTTTTCATTTAAATTTCATTTTAGCCTTTATCTTTTCCTCATTACTACTGTAACTCCCTTCCCCAGTGTAAATTTTCATTGTGCTCTGAAGTAGATAAGGGTTTATATCCTTTTCTAACCCTCTATTATTTGTGAGATGTGAAGAAAGGCTAGGTAAAACAGGTCTGTCTAATACGGCAGACTCAATGTTTAATGAATGATCAGTATTTGCCAAGATTTAAGTCATTAAACCTAGATTTGTCCTTTCAGCACAAAGTCTCTGACATACCTGTGGAGGTCACTAATGTGAGACCCTGCTGTATCAAATCAGAGGCAAGAGATTACTGTGACAGCAGATTTATCTTGTTCTTAATATGTAACCGAAATTTTACATCCTTCTGTTGTTCTGTGTGAGTCTGATCAACAATGTAGACTCTAAAGGACTTGTCTGACAGCTAGGGTTGCTAAAAAATGTAATCCTGATGAATTCAGTCTGCTATTCTAAAGATGTTCTCTGTAGCCAGCTCTACTCAGTCCTAGTTTAAAGCAATCACTTCAGTAAGTCAGTCAGTTTCTTTACACAATAACCCATTGGACTTATCTCAGATTTTGAGTTCTATTACTATGTTTTGTGTAAATAGCTGTTTCTGGTTTAAATTATCTGTCCTTAACTTTAATATTTCACATGACTCCTCCCTCCAAATTATTATGGATCTTATTATTATATCCAACTCCTGCTACATTGTGCTAATATTAATGAAGTTTTTCTGCTCCTGCCAAAAATCCCCTTCCCTCTATGCAACATGAAACTTGCTTCTCCCACTGACTCTTCCTCAATTATTTCACTGAAAGTTTTAATTCTTGGCCACTATTAGAGAAGCAATAAAAATCTCATTAAATCCCCCAACCTGCCTGAAAATGCATGTGCTACACAGGGATGTAATCCTACTGCCCTCATGCCTCATTTTCCATTCTTCACCAGATTCTTTCTCACTGCTATTTCACACCTAAAAAGATGCTGCAAGTGTTTAGGAATGGAAACTTTGTTCCTTATCCATTCTTTGCAAACAGTAATTATAATAAATAATAAGGTACGTGTGGAACAAGTCTGCCTAGAATTCTCTATTCCTGGAAACAACCTCTGGCCTTTCATCCGAGTTTGTATTTGCAAGATGCAACTGGTAAGTCTCTGAATGTTGCACTGTTTCTCCATAGAAGATGCATCTCTGGCTCTTTGGAGCATACACACCCTATTAGTCTTATGATCATGCTCTCTGCTGTCACATTCATTCCCTTCTATCTACCAGTAAGACTTTAGAATAGGAAGGGATTTTCAGAATGGTCATGTGGAGTACAGTAGACATACATAAAGGCCATCCAGTTATGTGCCTGATCCTCATTAGAAGAACAGCAGACAGTATATGACGTCTCAGAAGCCTGTGTAATCCCAGAGCAGTATTTCTCCCAAAGGTGCTGAATTCCTCCTTCTCTGTCAGTGCACTCAGAATTTTCCCCCTTCAGCTAATCCAGAAGCTGTTCCTATTCAGAAGAACATTACGGAGTTTAAGCAGGTTTTCCATACTTGCCTTTTTGAGTGAAAGTCAATGCATGTGTCCTGACACTCCTAGTCCCCTCAGCAGTCTGCTACAGCTGAAAAGAATTTTTGCCTTGCATGTCTGCAGATCTCACACCTGAGCAGCAAATTCAGTGCTAGGCTCATAGCCCAATTTCCCAATTAGGTCAGCTTTCAAGTGCTTCAGTGTGCTTAAAGTACTGCTGCCCAGCATGGTAAGTCAGGACTAACCTATCATTTCTGTGTAGATATGCCTAGTGTTTTAGGCTTTTTTAACAGCCTATTTGGAGACTGGCTTATTTTCAGGATTTCTCGCATTAAATATTGGTAAACTCACTGATGGGAACCCAGAGCACCATGACTACATTAGGAGAAAATTGGAGCATGGCCAGACATCCCTGTTGCTTTTCTTCCACTTAAAAACCTTTGCCCACTTCTGGAGAAGGTCTTAATGACATTTAGGAAAAAAACCCAAGACACAGCAGGAAAGTAAAAACCAGAAAGTGGCACTGAAATAAATTCTGATTTATATTTTCTCTGTGACATGGGGGGATTTGTATTTCCTTCATGAGACAAAGGAGAAGAAATAGTAGTGTATTGCATGAAGTTTATATAAGCGCTCTCATAGCTGTGGACCTGACCCTGGGGTTTTTGTGAGTCAAAATGCTCATATACATATAGCAGTGACCAGGGGAACCTCAGGCTGAATTTCAGGTTCATGTGGAATGCATGAAGCAACAGAAATATCGCTTAGCCAGCCTTAACCTAATCATTTTCTAGCGAATGACAAAAGGTTTTCAGAGGAAATGCAGCATATATTGAGCTATAATTAGTTCCCCAATGGTTGGGCATTTTCTTAAGAGAATTGCTGCAATCTATCATGCAATAAAGTATAGAGCATAATCTAATCCCAGATTATTCTTTAATTTACACAGTTCTCAGTATCAGGGCAAAGAATTTGAACATCTGGTAGCAGAGACACCTACCAATGAATTTGGAGTTGTATTTTAACTCATGCAGCTGTCCTAGCTAACCAGATTAAAAGCTTTTGCTACTCTTGATGTCTGCAACATATGCGTAACAGTCTGTGGGAAAAAATTAAGTCTCACATCATTTGTAAACTCTTTTTGTGAAGGAAACTCTTCCTCTCACAAAATATGTATTCACTTAGGCTAAAAATACATCTTTGTAAGTCATGTTCACATGACCTATGTACTAAGAATGTGCCTACGACATCAAAATAGTAAATGTACTAGAAGGACTGACAAAACAGTGATACCTGACTCTGCATTGACAAAAGCGTTTTGTTCCCCAGTGGTCTTTTCTAGTATTTTTCCCAAGGAATCGAAGCATTATATATTTCTTTCTGTTCCTTGGAAATGTTGTGTATTTCAACTTGATACAGGTTATGTGTTTTCTTCTGTCCTACTAGAAGTTAATGACCTTGCATACTGTGTGTGTCGGCAAATAATTTGGAGCATAGATATAGTATAATTAATGCATATTAGGCCCTTGCACTGGTTTTATACATGAGAACAAGATGACAGAGTAATCAAGAGAATGTTTCTTCTTCCCCAGGCAGTGAAAGAATGCATAACATGATCTTGAATATACTAACCAGAGCATAATGAGGTGTTGTGTCTGTCACTATGATCTGGGACCTCTTGGTAGAAGTAAATAGTACAGAATGGGTTTTATCCCACCTATTGCCTAGTGCAATGATTCTTCAGGGACGGATGGTTGGACACCTGGGAGACTCTGATACACTTATAAAACTGCTCTAATTTTGTCTTTCTAAATTCTGAACAAGTCAAATGACAAAACAATATTAGAAATCTGGCATTTGAGCTTTCATCTCCCTACCAATATGGGGCTGCTTCTAACTCCGGGGTATTTCATAGAATCATAGAATAGTTAAGGTTGGAAAGGACCTTAAGATCATCAAGGTCCAGCCTCCTTGCCATGGGCAGGGACACCTCACACCAAACCATGTCACCCAAGGCTCTGTCCAACCTGGCCTTGAACATCACCAGGGATGGAGCATTCACAACTTCCTTGGGCAACCCATTCCAGTGCCTCACTACCCTCACAATGAAGAACTTCCTCCTTATATCCAATCTAAACTTCCCCTGTTTAAGTCTGAACCCATTACCCCTTGTCCTATCACTACAGTCCCTGATGAAGAGTCCATCCACAGCACCCCTATTGGCCCCCTTCAGATATTGGAAGGCTGCTATGAGGTCTCCACGTAGCCTTCTCTTCCCCAGGCTGAACAGCCCCAACTTTCTCAGCCTGTCTTCATACAGGAGGTGCTCCAGTCCCCTGACCATCCTTGTGGCCCTCCTCTGGACTTGTTCCAACAGTTCCATGTCCTTTTTATGTTGAGGACACCAGAACTGCACACAATACTCCAGGTGAGGTCTCACGAGAGCAGAGGGGCAGGATCACCTCCTTCGACCTGCTGGTCACGCTCCTTTTGATGCAGCCCAGGATACGA